CACCTCCTCCCCCTTCTCATTCCCTGCAATCCACCTGCAAGAGAGAGTGGAGGTGTGAAAGCAGATGGCCACTTGGGGATGAATGTTCAAAAGAAGTGGGTCTCTAAAATGTCGCTGGACCACCACCAGCAGCACCTGGGAATTTATTAAAAATCCAAATTCTCGGTCCCCACCCCAGACTGACTTGAGTTATAAACTGAAAGGGTGCAGCCCAGCAATCTGTCTTATAATAAGCCCCTCTGCMTATTGGAGATGGTATTTAGTGGGTGGACACTCAAATACTTTTATTTCACCTCCCCACAAGCCTAAGCCCAGCACATAATATGTGCAGCTAGTACCTATTAAGCATTTTCTAGAGTTCTTATAAACTTAGACCTATATACTTAATAAACAATTTATTGTTATAACCTGTAAATACACCACTAATAGGTCTAAAGACAAAGACCTAAATGACAGATTTTCCCAGTGGTTAAGTAAGCAAAGACTACACTAACAAATAATCTGTATTTGCTAGTGAAAGAAGCATCATGACCAGCAAATATAGAGTTTGTAAAAAAAAAAAAAAAAACAGTGGCTCTCCAGTTTTGATATTTATCAGAAGCATCTGGGCCTCACTCTCAGAGGGYTTGATTGGATAGGGCTAGAGAATTTGCATTCCTAACCAGTTCCTGATGATGCTATTCCTGCTTCTTGGAGAAGCAAACTGATCATCACAGCACCAAAGCCCTGAGCATCCTCACTACTTAGAATGGCCCATAGACGTGCTGCATAGTATCACCTGGAGACTTTCAGGAAGACAAGACCTCAGGCCCCACCCTAGGTCTACTGAGCTAAAAAATCTGAATTTGGAGGGGGTCTTGTAGCTGAGAGTCCTAATGTAAGGTCACTTTGCCCAATCCACAGCCCTCTCTTTTCACTAGACCCCCTAGAGAGTGGCCTTACCAACTCTGCGTATGGGATAGTTTGTGAAAGCAGCCCTCCCCAGAACAGCCCTCCCACCAGTACCCATTCACCAGAGGTACTGAGGGATAATTGGCCTAGCACCGCATTCTTCAAAAGGGGCACCTTTCAACAACTTCAAATGCAATACACTAACAGTTGCTGAAACTGAAGAAAAGATGGAGGCAGTTGTGTGAACACTGGAGTCAACATTGAGGAGGCAAAGCCTGGTGACCTCCTCTGGCTTTTTTGACATGCTCCTTTGAGGCCAGAGGGCTCTTGACCACTACCCCAATCACTGGCTGCTACAGAAACTAGCTACTTCCGGTGTCACTGGCTCAGTGATAAAGCTTTCTGGTTTCAATCCCCAGTACCCCAATTTTTTTTAAATGGCAGTCTGCCTTCCAGTGGGCTAGGGGCAAAGCTCCCTCCCCACAGCCCTCAGCCGAGTGCATGATACATACTTCCCTACATACTTCCCAAACCTGCGTCAGCTCTCCCCAAACCATGGAGTCCGGAGTCCAAATCTTTCTCAGAGAGAGGAAGAAGTCCTCTCTCCCTGGAATCTAGAGCCCTACTCTGATCCCACACCAGCAAGAACCCCTTCCTGGATGACTTGAGAATCAGTGCATTTCTCATACTTCCTTTGCCTCAAAAAAATAAAATAAAATAAAAACAGTTTTATATTGACAAAATAGCTCAATAGACCTGAGTAGAKCTTGGGGAAAATAAGCAATTTGACACAGCATGTAAAAGTTAMATTTGACAGAGTATATATTCAGCAAAGCAGACCAGGAGGCTTCTAACTGGGAGACGATCAAAAGATGAAGGCAGGCAGGGTCAGGGTGCACTGCGCACAGAATACCTTGTAAAGGAGACCCCCTGGCACTGCTCCACAGAGCCCCTGGTAAGTGTGGCATGCTGTCTAGCCACTTCTTTTGAAGATATATGCCTAAAGTCAGAGGTGATAATATTATGACATTGTCAATGGCTGTGAGATCTCAAGAAATTAGATCACATTTCTTAGACTTTCAACTATGTTGCCCTGAAACTCTTGCTAAAATTACAGTGCTGTTGGAAAAACTGCTTTGATTAGGGTACCACTGGATGACACCACTACCATTTTATTACAAGTTATGTAATAACTTTTACATAACTTGGTAATAGCTGTTATTAATAGTTGTTAGAGAACTGTTACAGAGTCCATAATAATGACCGGGCCCCTCACAGATGCAGATGAGTCATGGCTGTGAGATGATGGTCAGCACATGGCTGGGCATGTCAGTATCCACAAATCCAGAAGAGACTGAGCACAGGAGGGCTAGCCAAAAGCCTCAGAAAAGGGAAAGACATGTATAGAAAATGAGGATGGGACTTGGGCTTTATCCTCAATACCACTGTCAGTGCAGTATGCATACATAACCTTAATTAGTTGGCATCTCTAAGATATCAGAGAAAAGAAATCACTTCTTTCTAGGAACTTCTGACCTAGGTAGGACAAAGCATTGGTTTAGGCTTTGAATAAGAAACTGGTTTCTTAGCAACCTGACCCAGAATGTAATTTCAGAAGAGTTCCTTCTGGTTAAAAAAAAATAAAGGAAAAAATCCATACCACTTCAGTTATTAAGACTCATATCACAGTATGACCCTTGGGAAATTCAGTTCACCTTTAATAAAAAGCCAAACCTAAATGCAAAGAAACAGATGAAATATTGTATGAGGTATGGGTCCAATGGGAATGAGCCCACGTTGGAGAACAAACCCAAATCATCACCACTGATTTAAAATTTTTTCATTGTTTTGCATCAACATCATCAAGTCCTAAGGACACAAACTTTGCAAGACATTAGATGTCCCCAGAAGTACTGCTAGATATCAAGGTAAGAGGAGGAGACTACCAAGCAATACATTAACTGTGGAGATGAATCTATATAGGGGGGCAGTTTTCATATTGTTGATGCACCTACCTCCATTCATCAGATTATGTTGAAAAAGTTTTGACACCTGTGAAAACCCCAACAGTAWGAGAAAACACATTTTCACAGGTTTTCCTAGATATAATTTCCCATCCATGACTTACTGAGTTTCGTATTAGCCCCCATGTTCATTTTTATGGCCGCATAATAAATTACCATCAACTTAGCAGCTTAAAACAACACAGATTTGGGGCTGGGGCTGGGGCTCAGCGGTAGAGCTGAGTGAATACCTAGCATGTTCGAGGCGCTGAGTTCGAGCCTCAATACCACATAAAAATAAATAAAGTTTTAAAAAAACACACACAGATTCCATGACTTAGGAGTCCAAATGGACTAAAACAGGTTCTCAGTTCAGGAACCCACAAGACTATAATCTAGGGACAGCTGGACCCTCATCTAAAGGCTTAGCTAGGGAAAGTTCTGGTTTCTAAGCTTCTTTAGAATGTTSGCAAATTCACTTCCTTGCTTTTACATGAAAGAAGTTCCCATTTTCCCAGAAGAAAGAAATGGGGGTAGGGGAGAAAGGGAAGAAGGAAGGAAGGAAAGTAAGTTAATTAATTCCCATTTTCTTGGCAACTGATGAAAGAGGACTGCTCTCTGCAACTAGAGACCATTGTCCTTACCATCATAGGCAGTTCACAGCATGAGTGTTCACTCTTCGAGGTTGGCAGGAGAACTTCTCTCCTACATGGATTTCAACCCCTATAAGGACTCATCTAATTAGGTCAGGCCCACCCAAGATTATCAACCCCTTTAACAATACCACCTAACTAGGGACCTCAATTACATCTGCAAAACCCGCTCTGCTAAAGAACATAATTACGTGAGTGATATTTCACTGTATTTGCAAGACTTGTTCGCACTTAAGTGGGGGGATTATTCAGGGAGTTTGATTATTTCAGGGAATTTGAATTCTGCCTATCATGGCCCCTCACTCATTGTGTTTCTGATCTATGAGTGGAAGATAAAGCTCCATTTTCAAGATTGTCATAAAGCTTCATTGTATGTGCTTTTCACTGATTAAAGAGTACCAACATGCATCTAAAACTATTCATATTTAATATGCATTGAGCTCCATGGTGATCCATGGTGTCCACTTGTATTACTTTAGTATTTTCTCTCAAATCAATTCAGCTGTTGCCCAGCTGTTGCTCCATGGTGATCTAGTTTTTGTCCCCTCTGGAAGACTACATTAAGAAATTTTGATGCATTTCCTCTATTACTGCATCTTTAATCACATCGTGGCCACAAATAGTAGGGTGTTTGGGGGGGTTGGTTTTTTTCTATTTGTTTTTTAACTTCATCACATCGATGCAATTTCATTTCCACCATTTAGTGTAAAAGGACCTGCTCTCCAGGGGATCCATCTAGACAGCTGCACTCAGCGGATTTGGGGCTGCTGTCTCTAATCCAGCCCTCCTGTTCCCACAGCATGTGAAATACAGTCTTGACTCCCAGATTGTGGGATGACAGCCTCTGAGAGTTTTAAGTTGGGAATCAAACCTAGGGCTCCACACATGCTAGGCAAGCACTCTGCCTCTAAGCTACATTCCCAGCCCTAGGTAGGTACCCTTTTTAATTAAGAAATTATTTTAATGTCTTGGAGTGGGGGAACTATTCAAACCCAAGATTTTAGGGCACAGGGAAGTCTAAAATGGAGAATTAAAGGTTTTCTTTAAGACGAATTGATTTGAGAGAAAAATATTAAGTAACACAAGTGGACAGGATATGGGCAAAAAGACGATGGTGGGAAACGCTGGTGTCTGAGAATGACTGGTAAGTACTGAACAAACTACCGAATTCAACATGAATTATCCTAAGTCAGACTCGTTCGGTCTCACTAAGGTCTGCAGAAGCCCACTACGTGCCAAGCCCACTACGTGCCAGTAGTCACACCTGTGCGATCTACGGTGGGAAAGCGCCCGTCAAACTTCACAGGGTCCCGCGGGAGGCGTGGGCGGGGAGAGGGTGGAGCCTGAGGGGCGTGGCCAATCCACCTGCGACCCGCGCGTGGGGGCGTGGCCGGAGAGGGGCGGGTCCTCGCGGCGGAAGGCGGATGTTGCAGCGGAGTCATGTGACCCGAGTAACATGGCCGCTGCCCAGTGAACGCTGCCGGTGCCTGGCGGGAGCTAGTCGCGTGAGCAGTTAGGCGGCCCGGGTCGGGTGTGGGAAAGCGGGCAGCGCGCGGCGGCTGAGCGAGGCAGACGGGCCCAGAGTGGCTGTGGTCCATGAGCCGGTGCCGGGGGCAGCGCGGAGCCGCAGACTCCTCTGTCCCTGGTGCTGTGCCGGCAGCCACGGGCTAAGGAGTCTCGAGGCTCCGGAGCTCATCCCAAGCTTCCACTATGAATCCCGAGAAAGACTTCGCGCCGCTCACGCCCAACATCGTGCGTGCCCTCAATGACAAGCTGTACGAAAAGCGGAAGGTGGCTGCGCTGGAGATTGAAAAGTAAGAGCTGTTGGGACCCCGCCCTGGCTATGCAGCCCCTGCTGCTCTGTTCCCCGGGGCTACTTCCCGCGCCTTCTCAGCCAGTGTTGCTTTCCCAGGTCTCAGGCTCATAGCGCAGTGCTAAAGAGCTGGAGATCTGAAATCATGTCTGGGAATCCCAACTTTGATCCTGAAAGGSTGTGAAGAACTTGGGCCAAGTTCTTTAACCTCTTGGTACCCAAAGGGCTTCTGTGAGAAGGATATGACATAATATGTAGTGCCTAGCACACTGCCTGGCACTTGGTGAGTCCTCAGTGTGTTCTCCATCAAAACCAGCCCATCTGAGTGGCCTCTGGTCTGATGGGAGAAAATGCAGATGTTGACCAGCCTGGTTTCTTACCTAGCTTCTAASAAGTGAAGGGGACTGTTAAGAGCCCCAGTGAAGAAATCAGGTGGAAATCTCAGAGGATTGTTTATCTTCTRTCATATCACCTTTCTCTGCAGGTGRAAATAGGGATAATTGTCCTTTCTTGCTTCTGCAGTTTTATTACATGTATGTGGAACCCTGACCTGACAATTTGCCTGTATGCCTATGTTCAAAGTGGGAAATGTTTAAGTAGAAATGTCTTCTTGTTTTTATTTTTGTATTTTTTTCCAAGCCAAATTTTAATGACAAAGTCAGGTGGGTGGCTGATTTCAGAACAGTGAAAAGAAACAGGCTGTGAAACTGAAAGAACATCAGTCGTAGAATTAACAAAGATGGATTATAGTTTCGTCCTGTCCAATAGGTAGCCACTAATCGTGTGTAGCTTTTCAAATTTAAATTATTAAAGATTAAATAAAAATTTTAAATTTATTTTTTCCATCATACTACCCATATCTGAAGTGTGCAGTAGCCACATGTAGCTATTGGCTASGGTATTGGACAGTGCAGATTAGAGAGCTCTTTCATCACTGCACAGTGTTACACTGGACAGCCTCAATCTAATATGTGGTTTGACACACATTCTTTGGCCTGGGACAGATTCCTCAACTCAGGGTATCTTGACCTCGGCACTGTGACATCTTGGGACAAGTAATTGTTGGTTGTAGGCTGTCCTGTGCTTTGTGGGATTTTTAGCAGTATCTCTGTCCTTTACCCACTAGATGCCAGTAGCACTCCATCAGTTGTAACAACCAAAATGGTCATAAGCCATTGCCAGATATTCCCTGAAAGTTCAAATTTGCCTCATTTGAGAACCACTGCCTTAATTGCTTTAGATTTTAGTTTTCTCCTAAAGGATTTGAATTCTGATTAAAAAAAAAAAAAGACCCTCCCATTCAACTCTACTATGTTCACTCTTGCTACTTCTCTCATCAGCTGCCACTTTCTTGACTGCTTTCTTTTCTCCAGCTTTCTATTTATCTCCTGGCTCTTCAATGCTACCAAGTCTTAATCAGAATTGCCATACTAAGTAGATGGACCCAGTTATGATATATAGACATGTCTATGGGCTTTGTTGACTTTYACATTGTACTGTGTGTTAGCCAGCTTTCCATTACAGAATTAAGTACCTGAAGGTTTATTTTAGCTCACAGTTTTGGAGGCTTCAGTCCTTGGTCATTTGGCACTCATACTTTTGGACCTGTGGTGAAGCAGCACATGACATCAGGGAGCATTTAATGGATCAGCATCATTTATCTCATGGCCAGGGCTTGATGAGGAAAAGGAGAGGCTAAATCCCACTGTCCCTTTCAAAGGCACACTTCAATGACTGGAAGATGTCCCAGTAGGTCCCACTTCCTGAAGGTTCCACCACCTTCCAATAAAGCTAACCTGGAGACTGAATCTTAGTATGTGGGCCTTGAGACACTTAAGATTCAAATTGTAGCACACTGGCACCCGGTTTTGTCTATCACCCACTCAGCTTTTCGGGAATATCTGGTTTTATCCTAGCTTAAGCCATCCGTTGGGTCCCTGAATAGAGGTATTCATCTCAGCATTATTGCTGCTTCCAGCACAACCTGCGTAAGTGCTCTCATTCCACAAGTGGTTCTTTAAGGGGTTTGTCTTTAATGGGGTTAATTTTGTATTAGACATTGCCCTCAATTTGTGGAATTCAGAGAAATTCTCTACAAGCCTAGCCAGACTGTGAACTTCTTTAAGAGCAAGGACTTGTTTTATTTATCCTCAGTGTCTAGCATGTGCCTAGTGGCATTTGATATTTGGTGTTAAAATGAATGACCAGCCACACATTTTTGGTAGAGAAATAGCACTGCAGTCTAAGGATCTTGGCACTCAGGAGTGTGGCCTGCAGACAACAACATCAGCAGCTTGTTAGGAAAAAACTCTAGCTTCACTCCATCTAGACTTACAGAATCAGACTCCACACTTAAAACAGGATCCCTAGGTGATTGTTGCACATATGAAAGTTTGAGAAGCACTGTCCTCAAAGATCGGCTGTTCTTTACATAGAATATTACATATTTGAATGTATTCCTCACTTGGCCTGGTCAAAGTGATCCTCTGCAAACACCCCATAAAAGAAAAGGCAGAATATTGGCAGTTGCTTGTGTAGTGTAGACAAATCAGCTCACATGCTGCAGAAATCAAAGTGCTTAGTCTTGTTCTTAGGTAAGTGGCCCCTCTTAAGACTTGTTTTCTTAAGAGGCTACATGGTATTGTAGTTAAGGTCAGCCTGGAGCCCAACCCCTGGGGATAACCCTAAGCAAACAATTCACTTCTGCCTCAATGTCCTACTCTGTAAAATGAGAATAATAATATTCATATTTAATTATATCAGCTAATGCTGTAAAGTGCTTAATGCAGTACTAGGCACATTATAATTATTATGTAATAGTTTTAATCATTTATAGCATATATTATATAATCATTTTCCATCAGTACTGCTCTTATCTCTCTTTAGTTGGCACAATAATGGCCCCCCCAAAAAAATGTCCTAATCCCCAAAACCTATGAATATGTGGTTTAAGATGGCAGGAGGAATTAAGGTTCCTAAAGAGATGACCTTAAAATATGGAGAGTATGCTGGATTACACAGGTGGACCCACTGTAACCTAAACCTCCATCAGCGCGAGAGAGGGGAAACAGGAGGGTGAAAGACTCAACCAGCCATCACTAGCTTGAAGATGGAAGGGGCCACCAGCCAGGGAATACAGATAGCTTTTAGAAGCTGGCAAGAAGGTGTGTTTTCTTGCAAAGCTTGTAGAAAGTAAAGCAGCCCTACCCACACCTATTTTTAGCTCATCAAGACTCATAGTAAATTTGTATCCTAAACCACTAAGTTTGAGGTAATTGATCATAGTTGTGAACAGAAAACTAGTGAAACTCTACTGTCATTCTTTCAGATAAATCTGTTCTGTAACCTTCACATCATCTCAGTGCTTGTCACCTCACAGCAAGAGTTAATAGAAGGCTAAAGGCCAGGTTGCCCATCAGTATTGCCCCCTGGCTTTCCCAGAGCAAGTAATAAGCCGACAGCTTCTTTGGCAGCCTGAGCCTAACAATCAAAGTAAGTGATTTTTAAAGGAAGGCCCCAGGGAAAAGGATACGAATTCCAAAGGCAAAAAATGAGACTGGTTTATGATTTACAAGGAGGTGGAGTTCTTAGGCTTCCCTAGAACAGACGCAGTCTATCTCACATTGTCCCCTTCAGTGGAGAGTAGGTAAGGGGAAATAAGGAAAGTTGAGAGCTGTTAAGCATGCTTTGACTTCTCTCAGAAAGTCCCACCGAATTGTACAAATGTGCTTGTATTAGGCTGCCACAACAAAATCCCTCACACTGGGTGGCTTCAACAGTAACAGTTTGTTTCTCACAGTTCTGGAAGCTGGGAAATCTAAGATTGAAGTAGTGTTCATTCTGAGGTCCCTTCTCTTGGTTGGTAGGTGGCTGCCATCTCACATGTGCTCATACGACCACTTATTTTTTGGCAGGGAAGGAGGGCTGGCGCTGATGATTTTATAAGGATACTAATCATCTGAGATCAGAGGCCCCACCTTTATAACCTCACTTTATGTCTTTATAAACCCCCTCTCCAAATCCAGTCACATTGGGAGTTAGAGCTTCAGCATACGAATTCGGAGTTGAGGGAGCAATTCAGTCCGTACAGTGATGACAGTGAAACCTAGGAGCCCATGTGTATGAAGCACTGTGTGCCCCACTGTGGGGGGCAGGTGATAGAGAAGATTCCCTTTGATGGCCATTGGATACCCCTCATCTCACTTCCTCATGACTGTCCTTTGAGCTAGGAGGTCTTGCCCCAATTAGCAGATTAGAAAATAGAGGCTCCTTCAGGTTACGTCACCTTCCTGAGGTTTCACAGCTATATCTGGATAGAAAACCCAGGTTCATTTGTCTCAAAGGCTTCCCCACTACCATAAGTGGTTTTCCCAGCCAAAAGGAGGACATAGAAGAAATTTCATACTTGGTTATCTTCGTGGCGATTTTAACTGCCACTCTAGATTCTCCAGAGCCTATCTGCTCAGATGACAGAGCCAGTACTGCTTACTGTGTTCCAGTGAGGGGTTGTGTTTTATCATGATGACAGGCCTCCCAGAGGCTAAAAATGCAAAGGGATGGATATCCGGCTCGCCTTTGGTAGTGTGATGTTGTGACCAGTATCTAATGGCAAAGGTTATGAGCCTGTTGTACACAAGGCCATACAATTATCAGTTAAGGTTGTAGAATGGCTGCTCTGGGTTTTGTGGCCTCTCACTCTCAAGGGACATAGTCATTGATCAGTTCTATGAAAAGGTTGGTAAGACCTGGGTTGTCCTCTCATGGAGAGTCTGGCATGAGGGAGAAAGGCCAACAGGCAATCTGATTAGCATGGGTACTTGCTCTTCTGAGGGTGCCACACCAGGCACTGTGGACACAGGGCCCCCTCCTGTTGCACTTCTAGCTGGAGATGACACCCTGTGTGGTCAAGTTTCTGGTATTTCTAAGCTTTGAAGTATGTCTCCAGCCATATCACCTAAATACATGCCATCTTTTCTGAACTTTGAGTCTGCAGAGATTGGT